TAAACTGTGTGCATATTTCCGGAACGACACCCTATAACATTCCGCTACATCAATATCCTAACACAGATGAAATATTTTTTGGAAACCAAGATTGTTACTATTATTTTTTATGAAACGAAAATTGATACAATTTATTGATAATATTAATTAATTCATCATACTGATTAAAACTAAACAATTACTATTGGGTGAACTGATTGAAAACTGGTGATGTACTGACATAGATTGTTGAAAAGAGGGAAGCCGTTCACCTAACATGCAGACGTAAATGATAAACGAGTTATTCGTAAAAACATGAAATACAACTACTTAACAACATTTTATTCTAAGATATGATCCCAGGTATTTTTATAGCATTTGTACGTAGATGACGTGGTTGTATAGATATTGATAATTGTTAATTCCACTTCAAGTTGATCAGCTGATTTTTATTGAAACTATCGTAACTAGGTTAGGACATCCATTTAATACAGTTAAAATGAAAAGGACAGATGGCTGCTTAAGCCAATTTGTTAAATTTTATGAATATACATGAAACGCAATGGTTAATGGGTCAACGTAGTAATCTCATTGTATAATCCAGTGTGAAATTTGTCTCACAGACTGGATAATTTAGAAACACTTGTAGCAGATAAATTAACACTTTTAGGAAACTAATCACATAGAATTGTTCTATGATATACTTACAGCCTGAAATGATGATAAAAAATGTAGTGTAAATATATAAAAAGAAATAATCAAAGGGCTTAAGTTATTAGTAAAATATTATATACCCAATAACAAAATAACACTTGGCACACGAAACTTGAGAAAATTCCAATGTATTAATGAAAAATTTAAACTTTGATAGCATCTCGTTAAATATGATACACGAACTTAGAAAATGAAACGTGTCAATTGCAACGAAAAAAAGAAATTATGCGACGTCTTTGCCCAATTATACAGGAATTTAAATTTCATTTTAGTAAATAACAGTCAAGTAAACGAAAAATCTACTTAAAGTTAAATTTGAAACTGTAAGCAAAACTAATGTGTTTCAATCAAATATTTTAGGTAATCTTACTGGTAACACAGGAGCACCATTCTGAAAGACTTACGAAATTAATCCGTTTGGACTTATGGCTGTATATCGGTACAAATTAGTTACTGTTTTTCCTACTTTTCTAGAGGCCGAGAGCTTTATTTTAACACCACATCCAAGCTGGTGGTGAGTAGTACGTAATTACAAAATGTGTATAAACTAGTTGAACTTTTCCTCTATGTTTTGCACATTGCTCCAGCGACTTGGTTTGATAGAGGATCACTGTTCCATTATTTTCTAAGAGGGACTGACCAGTTAACAACTACCTGATCTTAGTGTATTTGGAGAGTTTAAATAATTGTCTGCTGTCACCTACCTCTACCATCTTTTTAATATTTATTGCTCCCCTCCATCACTCACTATCGGTGTGTACAATTTTCGTCGTTCTTCATTTAATTTGCAACTACTCATTAGCATGTTCTCAGACTAGGAGGCTACTCATATGCAACGGCTTCCCTCTATCTTCTGATCTAGATTACTAACGAATGGCTTATCCTATGAATACTGATTTTTACAGCTTTAGTTATAGTCACATTAGGAGAACAGACTTTCGTTCATTATCAGACTTATTATGCCTTATCAACCTGAGATCCCACAATATATATTTATAAAACCTATAGTCCTGTTTAGTGTAAGTTTGAAATCGAAGCTAACCAGTGCACACAAACAAAGACAGATGTTAAAAAAAAGTTAGATGGACACATGTACACATCAGATCAACAAGGCAATAAACTCAGAATGATCTGACATAGAACATTTAAAATCGACAGAGGGACAAACAGCCAAAGACTAGCATAAACCATACAAAAAAGACTTCATTGTCATACAAAATAAATATTTTAAATCTAAATTTTAGGCGACATAGATGGTCACCCGAGAGAGGAAATATCATTTAGATGGAAAATTTGTCGTAGAAAAGAATACATAGGTAATGTTGGTGTTCGTTTTGTAATTTATGGATGAAATGATAATCAAGAGCAGAGTTACTAAGCCTTATGAGAGATCCTTAAAACACTAGTAGAGTGTAAACATCTTTATATTGATATATATATATATATATATATATATATATATATATATATATATATATATATATATATATATATATATATATATATATATATATATTAAACCTCATCGTGTAAGAAGATATGAAAGATAAAGAATATGATTTAAATCTATGAAGAAAAGTTAAGAAATTTTATGTTAACTGGAGATATTAATTCAGCATATTGATGAAAACTCGTTCATAAAAGACGACCGTAATTCAACGGTCTCAATCTAAGAACTGAATTACAGGTTACGTACAAGCTTTTTCAAAAAAATGAATTAAGGATTTTATCATAGATAAATAGTGAGGTGATAATAACTGCTTCCAAGGTAAAAAAAAAAACAGACCAGAGTATTAGAAAGTAAAAAGGATAAAAAATAAATAGATGAAAAATGCAAACTCTACGTAAAGCCATAAAGTGAGGTAGTTAAAATGACTAGTATATTTTCGGTTTCAAAATCGAGATGATAATATTCTGTGTACAAATTTGGCATGAGAAATGAGAAAGCTCATATAAGCTACAAGTAGAAGACACAAACTTCGATTGATCATCTACTTGAAATTCTATAATTTGTAAAAGATAAACCAGTACGAATTTAACCTTGTCACAGTGTGAATACCACTTACATAAGCCAGTGTATTGAGTAATGTTTCAGTTAACAACATTTACACGGTTTCACCTCTTGTTAGTAAAATATATCCATATATTGAAAACCAGTTGAAGTATATCATTTATTTGACATAAATTATGCGAACGAGGCGATGTTAAAATTGAAAATTTAAATACTAAGGTGGTATTTCCTTTAAATTTATTTTAAAAACTTTGTAAGCTTAAGCAATAAAAATACCTGATATATATCATTATTCACACAACTAAGTAGTTATGTATATGCATAAAATTATCCAGATAAAATTAAGCTTCTTAAATGTATACTATATATGCTATGACTAAGTATGTCATAAGGATATACATGTTTCTATGTATATTCACACAAGTTATAGTTTATCTATATCCATAATCATTTTCTTAAAATAAATAAGACTGCAGAAAAAGATCATTAATAGTATTTAAAAACAGGGGCTGAAAGTTTTCAAAACCCCAATGAATCTAAGTGGATATCGTATCCCAAAAGACTTATTAAGAATCAGAGATTACAAAACAGATATCAATTTATCTGGATCCATGAAGAGAATGAAGAGTATAAAATGTTCAAAAGCAATTTAGTTACGCAATGATGCATCATTTATTAACCATAAACGACGTAAAGCTTGACCCCGATTACCAAGCTGAACATCAGTAACATGAGAAGGAATTAACAAACACAAAAGCAAAACTTTCAGTATCAAAGATAGGAAAAAATTGAAAACAGGATGCATTTGGAAAAAACGACTGCGTCTGAGGATGAAAAGTACTAAACAGTATTGAAACTGAAGATTATGAAATCGATTAAGAATGAGCATATCTGTCACACTGCGACTGATGTGAAAAACTTATTATCCAACATCTGCAAGCATTGATTACATTTATTTCAGACTCCGCACTCCTTTAAACGGTGTACACCGATGGAAAATGAATTAATGAACCGATTTCTCATAACTTTTCTTCAACCTACTCCTCCTATAATACTCAATCCAGTACACTCTGATAAGCAGCCGCTTGTTAACTGTAGTAACTGTCTCAACTATGACTATCTATGAAGGTTAACACCATTAGGAACTGAGTTTTTCAACCTATTCCCTAATGCGTAAACTCAGGACTACCTACCTCATGAGCATACCGTACTGCAGTAATGTTTCGAAGTGAAATATTCACAATCTACATATCTCCATGTTGGAAGACGATATGAAGTGAACTTCTGCACCGGATACTCACTCTCTGATAGGTAGACGGATACATCGCCTATGTCAAAGTAGCATTTATTGGCGAAGCAGAGGGAGCTTTTGAATCCATGTCTAGATTTTTTCAGACGCCCAACCATATTCAAAGTGACCAGCCACCTTACTTTCATTTGACTAGGTATTGACGCCTTCCAATTTTGAAGTAATAATTTGAATCTTGAGTGGGCGAAGAGTATTCTAAACGTTCTTGGACTGTCCCCTAAGGCGGTAATATGATTCAATCTAACAAGTCTTAGAATACTGACAGAATCCCGCGAATACAGCTAGCAACAAATCCCTCAGGCGAAACGTTACAATATAATAAGCTTTTGTATTTAGTTGTGGATGTTTTAAGAAAGCCGACAGAGAAATATAGAAATGGGTTTTATGCTTGTTACTATTCATCAGCAAACCACAGTTACAACTTGAAGACTAATGACCATATAAATACGTGAAATCGAGTTGATCAGCCTACTCTAAACACCAAGTCAAGAAGCAATCAGGAGTACGATTCAATAAGAATTAAAACTTGTATATTTGTTATATCTAAACGATTTAGAAAGTTTAGACCGAGGACAGAAGAGCGACATTCTGGTAACGGGTGAATAGTTACTAAAATAAAATCCAACAACTATTAGAAAGAACTTCGAAACATTAGTAAATATTTATATAATTGTCCCGATCAAATAATGTTGCATGGTTTTCAGCGTTTACTTACATTTCACGGAAGGAAATTATTATTTTATGCAATTCAAACAATATATGTATCCAATAAATTGATTTGATGAAAAATTTCAGTGAGAAACTGGTAGACCACAAGTCAGTTACTGAGCGTCATATCACTAATGTGTGTAAGGATTTCTAATAATAGCACTTAGAAAAATTAACATAAATTTTATTTAAATAACAATTCACACTAAGATGAGAAACTGAACTAGTCATTCATTCATTACGACTTAAGAAAAAGATAATTAGATTTCATGAACTTACGATAGAGGAGACTATTTAGTGATGGCACATTGGCGCTAAATGCATTCTGAGTTGGAATTAGCGCAGAGTTATATGACAAATATGAAGTTGCAGATTCAGAATGTTCTGAGGAATCATTTCGCGGTAAACCATCTGAATGAACATGGGTGCAGTTGTAAGAATAATCTCCAGGACGTAAATTCTGATGAGGCTGGTACTGACCCTCCGTCGGTGCACCAACAGATGCTGTATACTTAGCTCCTAAAGCAGATAAAGACCGCAAATGATCAACTGCCTCAGCTGCTGATATCAATGAACCCATTGCTGAGGCTTTGGAAGATAAGTGAACAGGACGACTAACTAATGTTTCATATCTCAAGCCAGAGAACTCAGGGTCACTGGGATCAGGTTTTGTAAAAGCTCTTGGTTGAGTTGACGAGTTATGAGTAGAATCAGAACCAGCTTTAAAAGATAGTACTCTAGTACTTAAATCTTTTGGATAAAAGCACTGGTTTTTGTCCCCATTTGGTTCCTCAGAGTAATTTCCTTCGGACTGAGTAATTCTTGTTTGACCAACCTGAGAGGAATAATCGTTACCAGGGCAAGATTCCTCTGCTTTACTGACTTCCTCATCTCGAGTTAGTGGACAACACATAGACTCACAAGACCACATTGGTGCAACTCGATGGTAATTATTACTAGCTGAATTGTATGTCATCTGCTCTGACTTATGAGAAGTGTTTAACGTGATGGTGGACGGTTTACCTGAAATTAAACTGTCAGTATCTGATATTGGTGTGCTGGATTGATTGTACGGATGAGACGACTTTATCGATGATGGAGCGTGCAAAGATGCTGTAGACAAATGAGGAGATAGAACTTGAGGTTCGGCATTCGAAACACAACCTGGAGTACGTTCTTCGACACTCGGAGGAGTACTGACACTACCTGAGGTTAAAGTTACCATTGATGGGAGCTGGGTAGATTGTGCATCATTTCCATTTTTGTTGTGAATAGGACGAGAGTTTATAGAACCTGAAAACTGTTCCCCATGTGTAAAATCAGAAAGATTAAGTGGTTGACCATCTAAGTAGCTCTGATGTTTTCTCGCTACAGCTGTTTCTCCGATTCGCTGTACTATAACACCGAAATCTTCTAGCATTTCGCCGAGTGTTTCTTGATCTAGAAACTTCTTTACACCATGTGAATCATCGCGTCTGGAATTTTCTTCACTTTCAAAATTGGATTCTCTCATCACATGATCTCTTATTCTATTATCTTTATGAGCTGAATCAGATTTTTTTTGAATATGCATATATCTACGAGTTAAAATATCACTATTTTCACCATCATCGAATTCACCATCGGGACTTCGGAACTTCCTATTCAGTTTTAAGAGATCTTCTTGTGGAAAACGAAACCTCTCCGTTGAATAATTAAAGCCTTCTGACTGTAGCTGTGAATGAATAGAATGAAAGCCATTCGGGCGCTTTAAATTATCAATAAGTTCGGAGTGAGTATTATATTGCTCCATAAGATTTCTTTGAGAACTGATTTCATTGGAAAAGTTAGTATGGATATTATCCGATATTCGTTCAATATGATATCCCCCACTACCTTGATGTTTTCTTGCAATACTACCACAGGATATACCTATTCCCGAGGGATGATACTGAGAGTGATTAAAATGGTTAGTTCCTGAAACTGATTCATCCCGTGGGACTTTCACGCTTAATTGGAAATTTTTACTAGGTCTTTCACGACTACGAGAAATCCGACCTCTTTTAAACCCAGAGCTTCTATAGTAGCCATAATAACTGGATCGCTTATCCTTCTGTGAGGCGTTTACTAACTGTGATGCCATAGATTCTGCTGCTCCAGATTCTAAACAAAATATGCGTTGAAGATAAGGTTGTAGTTGCTGTTGAAGTTTCGGACGCCTACCGCGTCTTCTTGGAGGATTCGGGGCTATTAGGGAGGACTCAGATGACATTTGCTGTTCAAGTAATCCGATCATATATGATTCTTCACGAGTGAAGGGACGAGCAGTATGAAAAGCAGCCCGTACGACATGCAAAGGCTGGGCTACGAGAGCATCATTTACTTCGTCAACAATTTCACTAATCTGGGTAGTTAGCTTTTCTCCTATCACGAATGTTGGAAGTACAGATAAAACGTGTGATTTCGCTTTTTCGAACTCCTCAACGGAACCAGATAACTCTGCATGTTGAAGTTCTGAAAGAATATTAAGCAAAACCAAGTTCAAACTAGACTCGTTACTTCCAGATTCTGTTGTGATGGCACTGGATGACGAGACCGAGGGTAATGGGGTTGCACATGACGGTTGTATATTTTGTCGACAAGGAAAAATTAGACCATTGACACACTGGTTTGAGTTATCAATAAATTTTCTTTCCGTGTTCGAACGATCTGTTTCGAATCCTCCACTGCCAAATAAGTCTGGTAGATCCGATTCTTTGTCAAGGCTATCCAAAATCCCACTAATCTCTGCGTCAAGAGGTCCAGGAACCTGGGGAGCACATGAGTCTAAAATATCAGCCATTCGATGACGTAAAGTTGGTACAGGTGTAGATGTTCGTGTTACTAAGCCTCCAGCAGTGCAAGTTCCTCTGTATTCCAGCGTCTCCGGATGTTGTGATGAACAAGACGAAGGCATTTGGTGGTGAATATCCTTAGAATCATAATCAATATTCCCATCCTTGGCATGATGTATCTGATAGTGTTCGTTCAAACTTGATCTGTCATAACAATTATACAAACAGAGAGCACAACTAAAAGGTTTTTCACCAGTATGCTTGCGATAATGAAGGTTTAGTGTTTCTTCACTGCAAAACCGACGCTGGCAATTAGGCCACTGACATTGATATTTCTTTTCAGAATCTGAATTTTGAAAATAGTAATGTACGTATGAAAGTTGACTTTACAAAACATAATATATAATGGCAATAACAAACCATACTATGAAGTGACATTTCTGAGGGTATGGAAAATTAGGCGAACGAATGAATGCCTCTAACTGAAACTAACCATACATGGCAATAGCTATCTCTACCAAGACCCAATGAGTAAATGTCATATTTCAAAATATATTACAACAAAAATCAGAAACGACGCACTAATATAACATTCTAAAAAGTATACCTACTGTGTACTAGTATATCTACCAAACTGACGGCCTAAGTGGCTAATGTGGCATTTGTACATATTTTCCGTCGATTAGAAGTCAACGCCAAGACATAAATTGACAAACGATCTTCATGTGGCTCTAACGGTGTTATTCTATTAATGATTTTACCGTACTTTTTATCTGGCTTGTTTTAATAGATGGTGTAATTATGGATTTAGTATAAGTATCTGTAACAAAGATGAAATTAAAGACTCACTCTTTTCAAAAATACTGAATCAGCAACCTCTTTCCAGTCACCTACGAATAATACAATAGTGTTGCCATTTAAATGTCCTCTCTCCAATTGTAATCTAACATAAGAAGAACCAATTAGTAGTAATGACTTGATCATAACGACCAAACTGCAGATTTGTTGGTCACACCAATAAAAAATATTGAACCAGATGAAAGATTCAGTAGATGCTCAGCTTCCAGACCAACAGACCGGATTCCGTACGAACCGGCCGTGTACAGATCAAATGGAAACACTACGGATCATCGTCGAACAATCAAGTGAATAAAACTTATCACTAAATATCAAGCACCTTGACTACGAGAAGGTGTTTGACACTGTGGATAGAAGGACCTTGTGGAACCTTTCTTGACACTATGATGTAACCTGAGAAAATTGCCAACATCATCCGGAATTCATATGACGGACTACACTGAAAAGTCGTGAATGAAGGACAGCTGACAGACTCATTCCAAGTGGGGACTGGAGTCAGACAAGGCTGCTTACTCTCCTCCTTTGCCTTTCATCTGGCGGTTTGTTGGATTGTGAATATTTTCACATTTGAGGGGAAGCACAGAATGCAATGGACAGTTTGGATGTGGCTAGACTATTCGGACTTCGCAGATGACCTAGTCCTTCAATCCCATATACAACAGCAAATGCAGATGAAGACAACTAGTGTGGTGGTAGTCTCTGTATCAGTAGGCCTCGACCTGCACAAGGGAAAAAGTAGGACCCTCAAATACAACACAGTGAATACCAACCCAATCACACTCGATGGAGAAGCTCCAGAACAAGTGGAAAAATTTACGTACCTGAGCAGCGTCAATAATAAATAAGGAGGATCTGATGCGGATGCGAAGGCGAAGAGTGGCAAAGCAAGGGCACACTCCGACAGTTAAAAAACATATGGAACTCAGAATAACTGTCTGCAACCCAACACCAAAGTCAGAATCTTCAATACGAACGTCAAGGCAGTTAGTTCTATTGTACAGAGCTGAAACTTGGAGAACTATCACAACCATCATAAAAAAGTACAAGTATTTATAAACAATTGTCTACAAAATATATTCAATGTCCGTTGACCGGATACCATCAGCAACAGCCTACTGCGGGAAAGAACAAACCAACTGCCAGATGAAGAGCAAATTAGGAAAATATGTTGAAAGTGGATAGGACACACATTGGAGAAACCATCAAACTGCATCATCAGGAAAGCGCTAACTTGAAATTCTAGAGGGAAACGGAAAAGAGAAAGACCAAAGAACGCATTGCGCCGGGAATTAGAAGCAAACACGAAAAGGATTGCCCAGGACAGAGTTGGATGGAGCATGCTGGTGGGCGGCCTATGCTACCACATGAGGGGTAACAGGCGGAAGTAAGCAAGTGTCTTCTCAGCTTGAGTTCAATACTTTGGTAAAATTCTATTTGGTTCTGGTGTATGACTTGGAATCACTAAATTTAGTAGTGGAGGTTATCAGAAGTTAACCCAAACTAGTAATTTGATTGCCATATGATAAAGTAAAAAGTTTCATTATTCATTAATCAGGTCTAAACACACAATCAGAAGGGTGAATTCTCTTAAATTTTACAAAAATTGATCGGATTTAGACTTCAAATAAGACGATATGACAAATCCTAGGTGGGAAATGCTATTCCAGTCAAACTAGTCATCTGATAATTAGGCACGCTATGTAGAAACTCAACATATTGGGTTAGCGATTTCAAAAGAAAACCTAAACATAGTTTGTTTTATCAATTGCCAAAAAGATAATAACCAGACTCAAGTTAGTGGAGATGTACGACCATGTAACCGGAACAAAATTTGCAGAAAAGCCTTAGAACCATTAAGAATGTAAATTTAGACTTTTTCAAAACAATCCATTTTCTGTACTTGTGACACAATCAATAAAACTACAGAGTTCATGCTGGAACAAAATATTAGGGGGAAAATAACCACCATATCCTTTACATGTAATTATTTAAATTTAATATGGTGGGCTTTCAATTGTTTGCTTTAAAATAAAAAACAAATCACACGGTTTGACAGCAACAAAGGGCCGAATCAATCACCACATAAAACTAAAAGATGGTGATCGCATACATGACATCATATTGAATTCAAAGTTTCAAAAGCGCAGATCTAAGTTGCAAAAAGCAGGGGCATTTAAATAAACTTGACTTAAATGCAACTTAATGATGGACAGTAAAAAAAATTAAAACATGGATTCCCAGTTTTCGAGCTACTTGAAATTCCATTCACGATGCTGAATGAGTTCATGACATAATGTAACAATACGCTTTAATGAAAAATTCTTACCCTCATGTGTGGCAATATGACGCTTTAGATGGGTTTTTCGGTGAAAAACTAAGTCACATTGTTCTACTGGACATGCGTAGTTTTTGGGATGTATTCTGTGAAATTCATCCCTGTGATTTTTGAGATACTTTGGCGTACGAAAAGCTCGATCACAACCTTCAATGTCACACACATAAGGTTTTCTTGGATTGTGTACATCTGTATGATATCTTAAACGCAATTTCGTCTTGAATACTCTGCCACATTCATTACATCGATAAGTGTTGCACTGAGCCATAATACAATCATGATCACGTAGAAGAGTCTCACTTGGAAAGCGTTGAGAGCAACCTTCACAGTGAAGTTCTTGAGAATTAGCAACTGTATGCATCGACTCTATATGTTTGGTTAGGTTCTTCCCATACTGTGTGGAATACGGACAGTGATCACATTGATGACGCTTTAAGCTATGATTTTCATGCTTCTTCATATGATTTCGTAGAGAAGATCGGTTAGGATACGCAGTGTGACAGACTTTACAAACGCAGTCTTGGTTAGCCCCAACTTTCTCAACAAAAATATCATTCGAATGAATCACATCAAGTGAGTTAAAAGATAGGCCATATTTGTATCCAGGTGGTAATTCGTTAGACTTATGTGGTAAAGTATTTGAAAGGTGGAAATACGTATCAGCTACATCTGTTTCATGCTGATGCATCGGTCCACGAATGGTGGTATTATTACCCGAAATGGTATACGGTGGGGAAAGATTATGTTTGGGAGTGAGAGATGTATTAAGAGAAGCAGGACCACTGCAAGGAGTTGGTGATTCAGCGACAGATAATTGGTGAGAACGATATTCAGGAGGAGTAGAGCTACTATCTATTACCTCAGAGGATTCATTGGGTTTCACATGAATAGAAACAGGACCACTGTGAGGTGTATGATCAGAAGCTAACATGTTTGTGGCGTATAAACCAGATAGGGTGTGTTGATCACTCATTTGAACTGGAGAGTGAGCATGATGTTTGATTGGGGTAGCATACCGATCGAGCTGTTTTAATCGCTCTTTAAGTACTGGATTATTAGCTAGTCGTTTATCGTCATCACTTGTATCATCATCGTCTGTAGTAGTGTCCGACTCGGTTTCCGATTCGTATTCCTGAGGTTTTGTGAGATCTCTTCGAATGAAAGTCTCATCTGAATTTCCAAGATTGTTTCTCACGACCTGTGAAGGAATAAGACCAGAATTTGGGCCAATTAAACCAGAAGCCGCAACACTTGACATTTCAAATGCAAGATAACCAACAACACTTCTGTATTCTCATTGAATTCTTTAAAGTGTATTGACAAATCGGAAAGGTGTTTATGTGTAAATGTAACTAGCGCTACTGTAAATAAGCATCCACAAGTTGTTACCGTAAGTGGGATCGAAAACTCAGCAAATTTACAATAGTTCCGCTTTAAGCAGCTGACCTTGACGAGTGATAATTTAAAGCCCGCATTTAGGGACTAATCACATTTTTATTATTGCTTCCAGTTGTTGAAAAATGCATAATACACGAAATGAAACCTTTCAAACTAAAGATATGTGCTTGTATTATATAAACTCATTGGTCATAAAAGCCATAGTTTCAGCAGAACTGTGTTAAGATATAACGTCTATGTTAGTCTTGGTTTTAAAGATCTATAAGCCAACCCGATTTCAATTTGAAATGCATCCACAGAGACAGTTATTGTCATATGTTGAAGTAAAGGATTCCACCTGTTGATAATTCGACATGAAAGTCGCCAGCCATTTTGTCGCACCTTCATTTCGTGTATTATTTACAGTGACAAATAAATTTGTTCCTTTTTGTAACAACAATAAAATGTTGTTCCTTCTTTTCGCTATGTGATATTGTAGATATCAACATATCCATATTCAGTATGTACTATATATTTGTATCAATTACAAATGAAATTAACCTTTCAACTTATCGATACTACCACTACTTTTTCTGAGTGACAATACATGCCTCTTTACTTTGTTTCCCATTTAACATGGGTTGTATATTCACTTCTATAACGTGGGGTTATTGGCTTACATTACCTCATGACTCCAGCGGTGTGGAGTACACAGAATTTCATTTAATAGAATTCGCGAATTCTGTTTGTGATGAAACCCGGAAGGAACCCCTATATAGTATTCCATTCACGATGTTTTGTTGTGATTTTTGTCATTCACAATGTGCATTTTTTGCTTTTGTGTTATTTCTGGACTTATTTAATTACGTATGCTCAGTTGCTGATTGTTAACCTTTGATTGTCTGCTAGGAAGGGTTACTGGTACCCTTGGAGATGGGTATCTGGTACCAACTTGTTGGGAGTATTTTTATTGATTCTCAGGTGGAGAAATCTTAATAACTGACTATTTCCTTTGTTGTTTAACACATTGTTCTGTGCTAGAGAAACCGTTGACTGTATGGTACAGGCTGTACTGTCTAGGTATTTTGAAGTGATTTATTTTCATTCTTAAGGTCGGAGGCTCTTACTGCAAATTCGGTGGGCAATATGAGCAAAATAAATGAGTTTTTTGAGATCTAAGAGCAAACGATTGGACAGAAATATCTTTATTCTACTAATGTAGAATTCAGTGTACAAAATATCTCCAAAGCAATCAGTACATTGAAACACTCCTACACTGATGGACCAGATGGTATTCCATCTAGCATGCTAAAACGTGGAGGTGATGATATGTGTGTTTTGCTTCTCAAACTATTCGCGATATCACTCTCTTCAGCGTGTTACCCTACTGCCTGGAAAACTACACATATCATTCTCAAAATTAAAACAGGACCTGAAGCAAACGTTGAAAATTACCGGCCTATAAACATAACTTCAGTGGTATCCAGAGTGATGGAAAAAGTAGTTAAGGCGGCTGTGGTCCAACATCTATTAACTAACAACCTCTTGTCGACCTCCCAGCATGGATTTCTTAGGTCCAGGTCATGCGATACATGCCTAGTAGACTACCTGAATGATATAACTCTGAAACGAGACAGCGGACTCCTTGTATCAGTCCTATTCCTAGACTCCAAGAAAGCCTTTGATAAGGTCCCACACAAAAGGCTACTCGTCAAACTAAAGTCCTTCGGAATACACAACCCACTGTACTCATGGTTTGCTTCGTTCTTAACAGAACGTAAACAGATGGTAAAGTACAATGACTGTCTCTCGTCCCCTAGACCAATCACCAGTGGAGTCAACCAGGGAAGCGTATTAGGGCCACTTTTGTTTCTTATGTATATAAACGATATATGTAACACCATAGAATTTGGGAAACCGTACTTATATGCTGATGATCTCAAAATAGTATACAGCTATAAGCCTGAGACACTAAGCGAAAGTGTATCCCAGATCCAAAAGGACCTCAATAACTTAACTATATGGAGTGAAAAATGGCAATTACCATTTAACCTCAACAAGTGCGGGATCATGCACTTTGGAAAGCATCCCTATAAACCGCGACTTCACTTAAATGAATGTATAGTCCAAACACTCGAATCAGTACACGATTTAGGAATTAATTACACAGGAAGCCTAAACTTTGAAGAACATGCCTCCTCTATTATTTCTAAATCTAGACGGCTAATTGGTTTTATAATGAAAAACTTTTTCACAACAGAGGGTAAACTTACTATCTACAAAATATGTGTACGACCCACCCTTGAATACTGCTCTTTTGTCTTCTCTAATATGAATATCGCAGACAAGATAAGAGTAGAAGATGTTCAAAGACGTTTCACACGTCAACTACTAGGATGTAACTCGAATCTCGATTACACAGACAGATGTAAGCATCTATCTTTAGAACCTTTATGGCACCGTAGGCTAAATACAATTTAATATTTCTCTACAAAGCGATATATGGGCTTTCCTTTCCAACCTCCTGCCCGACTATCACCCACGACCCAGCCTATAGACTTCGAAACAACGCATATACACTACTTACCGTAAAACACCAAAAACAAATGCGTTGTAAGTTCTTTACAGTACGGTACAGTTTATTGTGGAACAGGCTGCCAATGCCTATCCGTAACTGTGATACGTTTACCAGATTCAAAAAGCTAATAACCCTATTTCTAGACTCCAAAGAGCTTCAACATTACCTTGAACTCCCGCCCACCGATGAGGCACTTTATTACGGACCGCCTAGTATCTAGAAAGAACAAAATTATAACAAGTTCGACTGTTACTAATCTGAATATAACCAAATCACAGGATATATGGCTTATCCTTTCCTATTATTCATTGTTTATTAATCATGATTTCATGCTCCTAACCCTAGCTTTCAGTCCCCAAATCTCTACAGGTTAAATGTACATTATTCTTCCTAAAAGTCATGCTTTTTTTTTCTACTGCAAGTAGACAGATAGCTCAATCTTATGGATGCTGATCTACTAAGGCCGATCATTCAAAGCTCAAAATTTGGCCACAAAGTCTTGTGAGTTTCTCAATGTTTTATTTTTCTCACCCTAAAATCTTTTTCTTTTTTTTCTACAATTTTATACCCTCTCATATCTTTTGATTTACTATTAATCCTTACTTCTTTAAACCATTAGTTATTTTCATAGCAGTGTGATATACTATATGGACATCTAACCCATAAAACAGAATTTTTAAATATCTGATTTGCTTGTAACATGGACCTAGTAGAGACAGTGTATTCCAACTATGTGCTTTGATTAAAGCATTAATCATACTTAACACAAACGTAAGAGAGACTAACATCACAAAAGGAGGGAGGGTGGCGTTACTGACCAGCAAACGTGAAGGTGGGGAGATAATTTCAATCCACCCATGTCTGTAGGGCAGAACATTTTGTTTAATTACGGCTCCTTATGGTTTAGTGGGATGTCACGGACTTAAGGTATTGAAGCTGATTTATCACGCAAAATACCTCATTGAATCGTGTTACGAACGTTGAATTGGTTTCACTTCCTACTCAGAAATCCTATTACAAGCAAACTAGACAATTCGCTAATATACGAAGCCTACTCAAGACCCTATAAAACCTGAAAAAAAAAAAATAAAAAAACGAAAAAGGCTCTAATAGCTTCGATAATAAAAGGGAGATAGCCAGTTGTATATCACAATACTGTTTCTAGCACTATATTTTATTTTATAATCACACATAATCTTATACTCTCAGCTCTTTTCCGAATCGCCTCCATTTGTCAGTTGTATGTCTACTCACACCTTGCTAAAGCTTATTTTCTTTAACCTATTAAAATGCTCTTTCTTAACAAATACCTTAATAAAAGAAAATTAGACTGAGTAATCATACCTTAAACATTCCTACATGAATATTGGCTACCCTGCCTCTCGTGTTTTCTTTTACTTGCTCCCTCTTTCAGCCCCCTTGAGATATGGAACAGGTTACTTCATCCTGCACCATCCTTAAAGCCTTGGATATCCCAAAGGGACATAAGGTTGCGATTTCTAGAAGCTCATACATTCAATGGACCTATTCTTGACCATCAGTCGCACATTCGCAACGCAACTTTCGTGAAGCGCGCCAACTATAGTACTGATTAAAACAATCTACATTCATGTCTTATAAATTTTCAACCCAGCTATGTAATTTAATACAGTGTATATTGTATCATTTGTATCAATTTGATCTTGCCTGTAAACTGGCATGCCTCATGTAACAAACTGTTATTTGAGAATAAATTATTATTATTATTAATATTATAGGTACCGCAGGTATTCTGAGTCTGACAGCATTTAGTTGTAACACCTTTACGAATAGAGTGTGGCAAACTAGTCAAATCATAAATCAGAAACGAAATGGTTGGAAGATGTATTTGAAAGGCGATCGATGTATTGAGAGGCATCTGATCTAAGCTGGCTAACAGTTACAAGGGATATGTAGCACGGGACATCCACTCGAGCTCTGGTGCGGATGTATGACCAAAGTCCTTCAGCCAAAAATTTTCTAGACAAACGAATGAAGTCAGCATCAATTTCAAGGACTCACAGAACGATTTATTTTGAGGACTTATTTACCACCATTTTATAAACGAGGATCAATTTTACCGAGTGAATTCTTATTCATCTCATTTAGTTCATTTAAATAAACTGGTTAATTATTGTTACTTTATTTATAAGTTTGGTAGATCAATTCCTGTTCTGATGCGTCCACAGTGCAGAAAATGAAAGAGGTATTTGTCATGGAATCAAAAACAATAAACCATCTATAACGACCGAAATTCCATTATTAGGTGTGAATGCAGGGATAATGTACCAACATTTATTTGGTTAGATCAAACTACGTTCTTCTGTATAGCGCACAAAACGTTTTTGAGCGAATCATAATAAATTATATCAAAACACACGCCCTGAGCTCAATTTAAATGGTTCTAACTTAAGAAAGTAACTCACTTCAAAAGCACAAAATACCTAGACAGTACAGCCTGTGCCATACAGTCAACGGTTTCTCTAGCACAGAACAATGTGTTAAACAACAAAGGAAATAGTCAGTTATTAAGATTTCTCCACCTGAGAATCAATAAAAATACTCCCAACAAGTTGGTACCAGATACCCATCTCCAAGGGTACCAGTAACCCTTCCTAGCAGACAATCAAAAGTTTGTAGAACTATAATAAAATTCGTTATTAGTTCTATTATAATAATGAACCTAATCCTAAAATCGCTTATTTGTTATGATGTGATTGCTTAATCTACAAGACCTTACATAGAAGTCATATCATTGTATACACTGACTCACCGTATCGTAAAAACTAACGATATGATACTTAGTACCTCTGAAGAACTTATTTAGGCTGAAAACAGGATAATATATTTGATGTGAATAAAAACAAGTTATACAGAATGAAAAATTCTGCGAAGCTGAGCTCTGCCACTCGACTGAATTGAATGTTCCGGCGTTCACGATTGTTGATTTTCTCACCGTGTTCAGTGCTGAATATTTATTTTCTGAGTTATCTCATGTTCAGCTTTGAGGATTGTGTGATTAGGGTTAATACCACTACATGTTAGCAACCATACACTGAACCATGCTGTAATCTTGAGTTTAACTAGACATTACCTACTGTCAATAGTCTGGCAACGTGCAACAGTGAAGTTAAGTAGCATAAAGTAGATTTTTGACCGAAGTCAAATAATTAAAGCTCAGATAAAGATCAAAGCAAAAAAAGAGGCCCAAATAAAAATCAGAGTTCAAAACGGAATGGGGAGAAACAAATACCATTATTGAGATGGTGGAGAAGATTTGTAGCTCAGGTGGATGATTTTGATGGCGTTTTGTTCTCTGAGAACAAAACGCCATCAAAATACCATTATTGTCCAATAAACATTTTGGAGGGATCTTCAGTATGATGCTTTCGCTGCAAATATGCTGTTTAATGATCTTGAATAAAGATACTTATTTGATATTTCTTTTATTCATAGTAAACATATTGTTCTATATTCATCCTTAATTGTGTTCTTTAGAAACGGCATTCATATGGCTAATTGTAGACAATGATATAACTTCCACATAAGATTTTATAGAACAGGTAGTCACATAATGACATATCGACAATTTTAGGATTAGGCCTATTATTAGAAGAGTACTAATAAAGAAGTAGACCATAATTCTACAGTTGCATGAAGTGAACGAGCAAGAATGACCGAGCCATGACTTTTCTCTTCTGGGTTACCAAGTTCATTATTTTTGACCTTCCATAATTGTTAAATGTGGGCTGTGAATTTTCTCGGTTATCGTATGTGCAGCTTCAAAGATCCTGTGATTAATAACCAACGCCACTACATATCTTTCTGAAGCTTTACGCTATCGAATTAATTTTGTGGTGGTCACTTTGTTTTGAAGCTATTGACGTCCAATAAGAGACAATCAGAAGAAAGGGAAGGCTGTTTAGAATCAAGGTCAACAATAATGGTTGATATACTATGTTAGCAAGTGAAGTTTCTCAGACCCACAGCCATGTTACCCATCATACGTGATGTATCCCTCTCTTACAATATTGACCGCTGGTAGTCAAATCAACTGCATTTTGACAAGGTTACAGCCGCTTGATGCGAACTAATTGATGAACGTGATGAAATAGATGCATATAGTAGTCCAATCATCCTCTTTACATTGACTTTATTTAATCTGATATTTTAAACTGGTGTTCTCTTCTGTTAAGGTTCCGTCTAATCTTTAAGCATACCACAAAAGCAAGAAAGCTTAGTCACAGATTTGGGGTAGATGAAGATTATTAATTGATAAAAATTATTTAGCTCTATAATACTGATTCGAGTCTGATCTTTACAATCCCACTTCACAGGACCACACTTAGCCCTGTTTCTAGTCGGACAACTTTTTGTTTGTCCATGCTTTTATTTGCAACACTCAATTTATTCTTATTCCAATTTTATTTAACGTTGACAACTTTGAAACTTTATTAAATGCCTTCCAGGAGTCAGTGGAGGATGTGTGTGTAGGTAGGTTGCTAATGATTGTTTAGGTAGCCTCCTTGTGTCCCCTATAACTGTGAAACAATAGTAGCCAGCTTTAGGATCATGCCAATTCTCAGCATATTTCATGGATACTGAAGTTGTTACTTGCAGATAAAATCCATCGAAATACTGACAGCTGCATTAGTTAGAGTGAAAATATAATGATTTCCAGTGTTTTCACACCTGATTCATAGAGAGTGCTTTGACGGCGTAGTATTGTATTATAAATTATAAATGTCTTAAAATAACCACTTTCAACAATCGGAATGAAAGGTGAGAGTCCCCTCAGAGACCCTTCGTGGGTTCCACACGGCCTTACTCATTCTCTCATACCATGATTACTGGGTTTTTAGGGATATCGAGTTCTTAAATGGTCAAAGGATATGGAGTGTGGTTAGTATGACTCGAACTTGCCTAGGCAAAAGGTGTCTGTTCTCTATATAAGCCACTAAAATCCTTTAATCAAGCCTCGGATTTGTAGCGATCAATATTAGATAGTGGCTATATGGAATGCCTAATAATATACGAATGTTATTTTCAGTATCGTCGTTTGTACGCAAAATGTGCATCTCACTGGTTCGATAATCAATTTAGACACTTGCGTTGTAAGTTTTGACTGTGAGTTCATGATATTTGTGTTTTATGACTATGTGATAGTGGTGTAAATTATGTTCTGTTTACTTCTAACGTTCTTAATTTTCTAGTCACATCACATCCACGACCAACTGCAGATCAGAAAGGCATTTTTGAAAAGGGTTGTTATGAGTTGTCATTATCCTAGTTTCATCATTGTCAACCTCGGATAGACTGTGTTGTGGGTAGTTCAGTTAATTCAAAGGCTGTTATGACTAAGAGGCCACAATGAACGAATTTGAGAATGCTTGATGATCGTCGTTATTAAGGTGTCGTTCTATCCATTTTGTCAAGAAAATCGTTGGTTAACTTGGCAATCATAGGTATGGATACGACATTATAGTGGTGGTAGTTACTGGATGGAGAAAAACGATAATGAGGGACAACTGGAAAGAGATTAAAGAAACACTAAAGTCAAAGTGTCAGGAGGTTCAGGGCCGCGAGAAGCATCATCATAAAAAATAGTTCCCTATCGAAACACAGAGTAGAATTCAGGAAAGGATAAAGACGGGGACTGAAAGTAACAACAGCCAAACAAGAAAAGAAAATGTCAAAACACAGATCAACTACGCAGAGACAAACAAAAGAGCCAAGTGTGGTAGTTGACCAGGTAAGCAGAAATACGTAGAAGACCTTGTAATGATTGCTGGAAGAGCTGTTAGAGAAAGAAATATCAGACAACTAGATTAGATAACAAAGAAACCAGCAGGGAAATATAGTAAACCAGAGAGAGCGGTCAGAGACAAAGAAAGCAAGATAATCACAGAGATTCAAGAACGGAGGAACGCTTTGAAAAACTCTCTAACAAATCAACGCCAATGGACCCACCAAACATCGAGTCAGCACACGCGGACCTTCCTATAGCTGCAACACCACCAACGACCGAAGACATCAGGCTGGCTATCAAAAAGATAAAGAGAGGGAAAGCAACAGAATCTGGTGATAGGCCAGCCAAAGCACTGAAGTCAGACGCAGATAAAACTGTAAACATGATCCACGTCCTATTCAGGAAGGTTTGGGAGCAAGAAAAAGTGTCGATAAACTGTGAAAAGAATACCTCGCTAATATACTGGAGAAAGGAAATCTAGGTGATGGTGAGAACTACAGTGGTACCACACAGCTTCAGGGCCATGAAGTGGATTCGACAGAATACTACTGAACAGGATGAATAATTAAGTGGTAGACGAACTAATTTGAGTTATCTATAAATTTTCTTTCCGTGTTCGAACGATCTGTTTCGAATCCTCCACTGCCAAATAAGTCTGGTAGATCCGATTCTTTGTCAAGGCTATCCAAAATCCCACTAATCTCTGCGTCAAGAGGTCCAGGAACCTGGGGAGCACATGAGTCTAAAATATCAGCCATTCGATGACGTAAAGTTGGTACAGGTGTAGATGTTCGTGTTACTAAGCCTCCAGCAGTGCAAGTTCCTCTGTATTCCAGCGTCTCCGGATGTTGTGATGAACAAGACGAAGGCATTTGGTGGTGAATATCCTTAGAATCATAATCAATATTCCCATCCTTGGCATGATGTATCTGATAGTGTTCGTTCAAACTTGATCTGTCATAACAATTATACAAACAGAGAGCACAACTAAAAGGTTTTTCACCAGTATGCTTGCGATAATGAAGGTTTAGTGTTTCTTCACTGCAAAACCGACGCTGGCAATTAGGCCACTGACATTGATATTTCTTTTCAGAATCTGAATTTTGAAAATAGTAATGTACGTATGAAAGTTGACTTTACAAAACATAATATATAATGGCAATAACAAACCATACTATGAAGTGACATTTCTGAGGGTATGGAAAATCAGGCGAACGAATGAATGCCTCTAACTGAAACTAACCATACATGGCAATAGCTATCTCTACCAAGACCCAATGAGTAAATGTCATATTTCAAAATATATTACAACAAAAATCAGAAACGACGCACTAATATAACATTCTAAAAAGTATACCTACTGTGTACTAGTATATCTACCAAACTGACGGCCTAAGTGGCTAATGTGGCATTTGTACATATTTTCCGTCGATTAGAAGTCAACGCCAAGACATAAATTGACAAACGATCTTCATGTGGCTCTAACGGTGTTATTCTATTAATGATTTTACCGTACTTTTTATCTGGCTTGTTTTAATAGATGGTGTAATTATGGATTTAGTATAAGTATCTGTAACAAAGATGAAATTAAAGACTCACTCTTTTCAAAAATACTGAATCAGCAACCTCTTTCCAGTCACCTACGAATAATACAATAGTGTTGCCATTTAAATGTCCTCTCTCCAATTGTAATCTAACATAAGAAGAACCAATTAGTAGTAATGACTTGATCATAACGACCAAACTGCAGATTTGTTGGTCACACCAATAAAAAATATTGAACCAGATGAAAGATTCAGTAGATGCTCAGCTTCCAGACCAACAGACCGGATTCCGTACGAACCGGCCGTGTACAGATCAAATGGAAACACTACGGATCATCGTCGAACAATCAAGTGAATAAAACTTATCACTAAATATCAAGCACCTTGACTACGAGAAGGTGTTTGACACTGTGGATAGAAGGACCTTGTGGAACCTTTCTTGACACTATGATGTAACCTGAGAAAATTGCCAACATCATCCGGAATTCATATGACGGACTACACTGAAAAGTCGTGAATGAAGGACAGCTGACAGACTCATTCCAAGTGGGGACTGGAGTCAGACAAGGCTGCTTACTCTCCTCCTTTGCCTTTCATCTGGCGGTTTGTTGGATTGTGAATATTTTCACATTTGAGGGGAAGCACAGAATGCAATGGACAGTTTGGATGTGGCTAGACTATTCGGACTTCGCAGATGACCTAGTCCTTCAATCCCATATACAACAGCAAATGCAGATGAAGACAACTAGTGTGGTGGTAGTCTCTGTATCAGTAGGCCTCGACCTGCACAAGGGAAAAAGTAGGACCCTCAAATACAACACAGTGAATACCAACCCAATCACACTCGATGGAGAAGCTCCAGAACAAGTGGAAAAATTTACGTACCTGAGCAGCGTCAATAATAAATAAGGAGGATCTGATGCGGATGCGAAGGCGAAGAGTGGCAAAGCAAGGGCACACTCCGACAGTTAAAAAACATATGGAACTCAGAACAACTGTCTGCAACCCAACACCAAAGTCAGAATCTTCAATACGAACGTCAAGGCAGTTAGTTCTATTGTACGGAGCTGAAACTTGGAGAACTATCACAACCATCATAAAAAAGTACAAGTATTTATAAACAATTGTCTACAAAATATATTCAATGTCCGTTGACCGGATACCATCAGCAACAGCCTACTGCGGGAAAGAACAAACCAACTGCCAGATGAAGAGCAAATTAGGAAAATATGTTGAAGGTTGTAACATCAGTGAGGTCGAATATATCATCGCAAATGTATCTATGGTTTCTCATGGAGTGTTGTTTATATGAACACCCAATACTCCCTTCACTGTGTCAGTCGACTGAATGCTTTTTCTCAAAAGACTACAACTACTACAAATGTACAAGCACATGAGCTGTTTATTGGGACAGAAATTTTCTATCAGGTACGTTCCGCTATGCAGTTTAGATCGTTCATAACTATTGTTGCAACATTAATTGAATTAATTTGAGTCAAGACGCTCAAGATAGCATTTCGTTTCACAAACGCTGTTTAATATCTGCACTGTTTTGAAGCACAACGACTATTCTGGTTGTCGTAATTCTTTAGTTTAACCGTTTACGATTTGTTTTAGTTTTGTGTGCCTGTTTTTACCCCTTCATTCCTTTTTCCAAGTATTCGTAAACCTTTTAGTGATGGATAGACAGCTTTAAAGAGTAATTGTCAGTTCTCGGGTTGTCGTTATCTTATGGAAAATGGTATCGTGTGTGTGATGTGTCCAAACGTTGGTACCACTAAGTTTGCATCAACTTGGTTGTCTCATTAAAGTTTAATGGGATAGATAACCGGAAAACTAACTTCAAAGGATATCAGACCTGGTTACTCAAGGTGTTATTTAAATGTTTGAATGAAAAGTATTCAAATCTATGAAATAAACCTATTGGGATCAGAAACTTTTTTCTGAAAGACTGAACGTTTGCTGACTGAATGAGAAAGTTGAAAACCGTTAAGAAGCTGATACTGATATAACAGGTGTACTGACAGACGCCAACTGACCGGTGGTATTTGCTGTAACGGAATCTTGGCTGACCCAATCTATCGATATTTGTGAACCTCATATCGAAAACTTCACATCAGTAATTAATGACAGAGCACGGAGGCGTAAAAGAGTAAAAGCTTTACTCACTAGGCATGAAATCATCTTTGCTTTTAATTATTGCATATTTCATGGAAAAGGAATGTAAAAATTAGTTGGTCGGCCTAGTGCAACATGTGACATAAACAAGTAGATTCCATTCAGAAGCTAAATCTCCATTACTAGGTGATATGTATCATTATTATCATTATCATATCGCTTCTGGACAAAACCGGATGTGCAGTTTTAGATTTCATTTCCATATCATTGTCAGCAATGACATATCAGCCTGAGCTAGATTTATGTTGCTGAAATTTAATGAGACAAAACCTCAGTATTGAGAGGTCGACTATTCACGTCTCGGCCCCACGCAAACCTAGAAGGTTATGTGAAGGAAAGTCTATTAATAAGTATGTAGAACACCCAAAACGCTTATATTCTTACTTAAATAGGGTTAATAAAGGAAGTGAAACGGTAAGATTATATAGGGATTTCAGTACTACATCGCCAGTTGAAGCCGATTGCAATAAAGTTTAGGTATTCTTATACGACTTTAGAAATGCATGTGCCTTAAGGAAGCTCTCTTCTTGCATACAGAAAACCTCATTCAGCTTCAGCTTGGGCGCTTTAACTCCTAGAGAACTTGATATCCCGGGTTAGTTAGAGGCGAACCTGATGAAATAAATCTTAAAATTTCTGAAGGCGCTGGCAAACCATATCACAAATTTCCTACTTTGCAGTTGTATTAGTTACTTTTATCACCCTGTTTCTTCACTTGAAGTAGACAGGTAACACACTGGACCTATCGATACTGTTCAACTAGACTCGGTCGCTAAGGGACACTCACTACTACTCTAAAAAGCAAAGAGGACCGCACAGTCGACTGCCTACTACCAGTGGTCTTGCATCTACGGAGCCTCTTATCCATCAACTGCTTAGGACAAGCATCAAGTCAGTGTGTTTCCTCCTGTTTATTCTTTATTAGTTCTTCACTCTTCTGTACGGTATGTTGACCAGCAACTAATATTATTTCTTCACTAGTTACCTTATCTGCAGCTCATATACTTCTATACTTTTCTGCCTGCTTTAATAAACAACCATCCTACATTATACCCTTCTTAATGCTTTATACTATGGTCAATTAAATCACTGTGTCGATGCCTTACCCACAGTCCATAACTTGTAACTGCCTGATAAGTTTGTAAAATGGCACTTATAGAAATAGTGTTTTCCAATAGGATGTGAAACACAGAGGATTGTGCGAGGTATGACATACATACAAAAATGAGCTTAAATGAGCCTAACATCACAAAAGGAGGGGGGTGGGGTTACTGACCAGCAAGCATTGATGGTGAGGGCGATGACTTCAATCCACTCAGGATTGTGGGACAGAACATTTTGTCCATATCAGGCTCTTTATGATTGAGAATAAGTCAGTCAATCTGTGATATAGATTGTCTTTCTACACTCACCATTCAGACTCATGTTTACGACTTCGTGCTGGATTAGCTATTCTACTAAGACAACCTACAACATGCTAACTCGACTTTTACACTAGAATTGTGTGGTTGGCATCGGATGGACAAAAAAAGGAAAAAGAAAAAAAGACAATAAAAGATGTAGTTATTAGTATTTTTAACACTTCACCCTCTATATGCACACTCCCTTCTAATAAACCGCTTTCTTTGTACCAATCTTGACTTCCCTTCCTTCATGTGAGCTTAATCTAACTTGTTAAATATCGCAACTCATTGTTCTTCATAACTACATTCTCTTATATGGAACATCATCCTACAAAGAGATAATACGAATTTAATCTAATTTATTATACCTCTCTCTGTTCTACTGCAAAATGTTAAGCAACCTTTGGCGTTCATATCTAAGCGCCTTACTGCTCATCTGTTTCTCTTTTTTCGTTCTTCAGAATCTTGCTCTGATGGCACAGCTATGGAACTCTCGACGTCTGGAACAAACTTGACGTACGTGTCTCCTCTAGGTCATGGTCTACAACAAGCGTTTTACGAGTCTACTTTATAACAACTATAAACTTTATAAGTTAGGAAGCATGCTGTGAGCCAACAAATGTTGTAATTAGTAGATTATGCCCGTAAAAATGGCGTGTACCATTAATATATGTTTTAGTCCATCTGTAGCCTGAGCAGACTACCAAACGGCTGGGAGAAAGTCTTAATGAGCCCTATGTTCAAAACGGGCACGAGACATAAATCTGTGGACTACCAGCACGTAAGGTTAACAAGGGTGGTCGCTAGGATTCTAGGGAATATTATTCACAAGTTATTTAAATATCTGAGTGAAATTTTAATTTTTTTGATGAGCAGCACTGTTTTAGAACTGATTATTCGTGCCTCAAAACTTAATGGTAGCTCCATAAAGTTGATTTGCGCTAAAATATGAAAAATTACTTGCGTATGTGGTCTTCGATGCTTTCAGTAAGACTGTTGACAAACTCCTACACAACGGGTGATTATCTGAATCAAGAGACATAAGGATTATAGGTAACTTGCATTCGTATACAAGTGATTTCCTAGTCGAGGGTCAAAAAGGGGATATGTTAAATCCGAGTTGTCCACATGGAAAACTGTTGCCGGTGGAGTTGGTGTGACCACAGCCTTGGACAAGTTATTACGCCACTTGCATGTAAATGACCATTCTAGTTTTACGTCACCATAGGTTTCGTTTTATGCTGACGACATCAGGATATAGAAGTATGAAGGATAAAAAACCGATCTTCCGAATAATCCACGAAAATTATCTGAACGATCTAGTATTTGGCGATCGCTGATAAATGCCTGCAAATGCGTACTGGTCCAAGGTACAGATACATACCTCTCCGACTTTGGATACAGTGTTAGTTCATCTTAAACCCTAGTACTGCATATGAGCAGCAAGCTGCTATCTAAAAGACAGTGACACGTTGAATAAAGTCAGCATAAACGCAACCAAATCGAGTTCCGGAATCGTAAATTCCTCATAAGACGAAAAGTTTCATGAGCCCTAGACAAATTACTTGCCACCTGGCTACCAACTTTTACACCAAGTTTTCTTTCAATGGAATTCCCTACCTCAACACGTCATTGAAGCCCCTGAAGATGCCACAGTTATTTGGAGTTTGACAGCGCTTTAACCAGTAACACCTATGAATCGTACCCACATGGTGAAATCAAAAGTCAGAAGCGAAAAGGTTCGAAGATATATTTGATAGGCTATCAATATGTCGAGAATCAACTGATATAGACTGGCTGGCGATTGCAGAGGATGTTGAGCACGGCGTTCTCACTCGTGATCTGGTGCGTTTGCATTACCTAGCGCCTTCAGCTAGGTGAGTCCACTAAAACTAATGTGGTCAGCATCCAATGTCGAAGACTTACAGAACTATTGATTTTGGGATTTAGTTACCGCTAGATCACATTTGTTAATCCATCTACGAGAAAGTTGACCCAGCTGAAAGACTAGCAACTCCAGGACTAAAGAAGGTCGCCCAGCATTCTGTCTTGCATATCCTGAAACTGACCAGACGTCATAACATTAAAAAGTGTTTGAATAACCGAAAAGCCGCCTAGTAATTTACTTCAAGTTGTTCAAATGGTTGTGGACGGAATAGAAGAAGCTTTCGTTTTACAGGCTTCCGTGTTTAGTAGCAGGGGATCACGAATAACTTCAGGCATGAACCTAGGTATTTTAACGATAAACAAGGAAAAAGAAATTGTTAAATCATAGTATGATACTATCCTTAGACCTTAAGAGTAGATCAAGTTGCCTCTTGAAGAACTCTTGGGACGTCGCTTGGACTAGTTCAGTCGGCAGCGAATTACAGCATTTGACAACTCTTAAGGAGTAGAAGTTGTGTCTACAGTCCGTTCTGCTTTGTTGTGTTTCCAATTTCTGGGTTTTACCCCTTAGGTTGTTATTGGAACTAAGCTTCAGTAGGTGTTTAAGATACTGTAAGGATACTGTAAGCCATCAGAGGTCACCTCTAAGACGCTCATACTCTAGTGGGTAAAGGTTAAGTGATTGGAGGCGCTCTTCATAAGGTTTAAATTTGAGTCCCCGAACTGACTTCGTGGCTTGCCGTTGGATACCCTCCAGAGTGTGCTTATCCTTTTGGAATGAGGGAGGAAAGACTATGTTTCTGTACTCTAAGTGGGGACGGATAAAACTGTTGAAGATTATGTGGAAAGTTCTTTCGTCAAACTGGCCAAAATGCACTCCAATGTTGCTAGTGCAAGGTTTGCTCAAAAGGCATTTTGTCACAGTTAGCGTAAGACTTTAAATCGCAGGGCACCAGGACTCCTAAATCTTTTTCGACTAGGGATACTATTAGGGAGGAGTTTCCTGAGTTGTAACTAAAGTCTGCGACATGTCGCAGATGGACTGTTTTACACTTTGCAGTGTTAAAGGTTAGTCTGTACAATTCTTGGGAGTAGACTGTGCGACCAAATCACCAGCTGATTTCCGTACAACACCTGGGATGTTAAGCTTAGACGGTGACGCCCAGTCCTTTTTAGCTCTTTTAACGTGGGTACAATCACATACAGAGTTATTGGGGACAGCTATTGCATTCAAGGACCCTGAGCTGGGAGACCCGAGTTTACTAAGGGAGTCGATTACCGTCGACGTAATGATGGTGCTGAGTTTTAACATGTCATAATTAGTGTTAATGCATGCTCCATCGATGGTAGACCTGTTGACATCCCTATTCTTGTTTTCGTTGCGCGCCCTTGTTTGTCTATCCGTTTTATGACTGTCTTTTTCCAAGTTTGCTGACAACTTACTCTGCAGACCTGTCAATAGGACAATGTTGTTACTCAGTAAGACTACAGCATCCGTGCAGCACGTAACACATTCCCACTTATGATCCGACTTCCTGAGTCTGTTGTAAGCAGTTGGCTTTCTCGAAAATATAATAAATTGAATCCTAACAAGTTTGTTCACATAACTGACGATTTGTAGTTGCATCACAAAAACGGTGAACTATTTTAATAACAAAATATGTGAGAAAGAAGCAAACGAATTTATATTATTTCAGACAAATTTCAAAAGACTGTAAGTAGAAGGTCTTCCGAAGCGCTTTTAGTCTGTGGTAAGTCGTCATATGAAACACAAGACGCGCTATAGTTTTTCATCAGTTCCCCAAAGTTGTTTAAGTGTCTCAAATGTGCGCAGTAAAGTAAGCAGGTTTTCGAAATTCTGTATTTGCACCTTTTTGACATGTTCTGTATTCTGTGCATAATGTGATGCTTCATCTGTTTCTAATTGGATTCAAACACTCCAAAAATGTGGATGAAGTTTCGTTGGAATAAGTGTTGCCTTCTCAGAAACTGTATTTTCAATTATTTTGTATTGGTTTTGATGCTACAATTTCGCTGCCAAATGGGCTCGGGAGTCGCCACTTTTTCTTCTAAGTATTCTGATGAAAATTCTGTTCCTTTTGCATTTACTTCACCACTTTATGAAACAGTGTTAATTAATGATGGAAGTTTGCACCGATATATTATTCCCACCAGTCATCATATGGGTGTTTCCGAACCATTCAGTGGGAACCCATCTGGTGATGTCGTATTTAACATCATGGATTTTGATGCTCACAGTTCTTTTCGAGCTGCTTGCAAGAAACTCGGAAAATTTTTCTTTTTGCATCTTTATGCTTCATCTGATAGTCCAGCTATCAAGAAGAAACCAAATTATCGATTCAAAGTTGAGGCAGTGTTCACTTCGCACAACCATTCATCAGTTACTCCAATCCGATTAAGCAATACTACCGAAATCATCGTAAACGTCATAGCTGTTCATGAAAACTGTCCTATCTTCACCAGAAGTTTCCATCATTTCGATGTTCCTGAAAACATAAGCGTCCAACAGTCTATAGGGAAGTTGTCTGCAAGTAGTTCAGGTTCCAGCGTAAGTGCACAGAATTTGTTTTATATGGATCCGTTCGAACTCGATATACCTTTTCGGGTTGACTTGTATTCAGGTGATATATTCCCCACTCGTCCTTTGGACAGTCAATACGCAAAGATTGGTTATCCAGAATTTATTCACGGAAAATCGGAAATCGAAAATTTTGGGCTTTTAAATTATACTTTCAATGTTTCTGTTGTGAGTCGTGGCGGCAGTGATCGTATACGCTGTAATATGGTTATTGCTACAAGAGTTGAAATATCGATCACTAAGTTCCGGCATTCAGATTTATCAATAAAGGTTGAACATCTTGAAGAAATTACCATGCCGGGTGCGGCCGGTGTAGCTTATGCTCGTGTTCACGTTGTTGGCTCACCGTCTTCTGTTGGCTCAGCAATTGGACTCAGGATTTCAGAACCAGATATGAGAGAAAAGTTTGAACTAGTGTCAACAAGTAAGAAAAATGAATGGGTAATTCAGGCTAAGTATGATATACACTCTATTTCACTAAATTCGTGGATGATGATAACGTTGGAAGCATACGAGGTCCCCAAGTTTGTTACCAAATGGGATGAAAATCTGAATTTTTTCACAGGCCGTTTGTCTCGTCTAAATGTTAATATTCCTTTGGTTTTCAAGTCTAAATATAAATTATCTTTGCCCTCAGAAATAAGAATTCGTTTATCAGAGGCTGCCATTGTGAATTCAACTATAGAGGTTCTAAGGCCATCAGCGATTTTTAATATGACCAATGCAAGCTTTGTGTTTACAGATCTTCGTAGTCAAAATCAAAAATCGGAATCCAAAGAAAAGATAAGGTTGACAAAAAGTGGTTCTCTTGTGGTTGTGCAGCCACTTGATTTAGAGAATGATATTTCTGTCCAAAAATCACCTCAGGCTCATGTCGATAACGTAATTACCATTCCTTTTACTGTTGTGGATGGCAATAATTTGTTATTAAGCAGTGCACCAGAGTCACGTATCATTGTTGAGGTTTTCGATATAAATGATTTAGATCCTGTTGTGCAAAACAATGGTTCTGTATTTGAAATACCTGAAAATGTCTCTTTGAATTCGCATGTACTTTCAGTTATCGGATACGATCCTGATGTGTCACATACAGATCTTTCTTATGTCCTATATGATGCTGACATCTTACCATTTACATTAATTGGTCCTCGTAATGATAAGCTAGTAGTGTCGAAGCCTCTCGACGCAGAAACTATGCCAACAGAATTCATCGTTCGCGTACTTGTGTCAGATTCTGGGATTCCACTCCCTCGTAGCGTTTTAGCCGTTTACATCATTCGAATCCTGGATATTAACGAACACCCTCCAGTCTTTGTGGAAGATTCTTGTGAAATTTCACTTCCAGTCACAGATGAGGGCTCCATTTTCTCCAAAGCAGCACCATCGTCACCGAGCCTTAATATAGGTCGGTATTTCGCTGAGGACTTGGATCGAGATGGTCAGAGTTCTGTTACAATCCACATAGCAGCTAGCAGTTTTCCAAGACCATGTTTCAAAATTGAGGAACAAACAGGTGATCTAAATGTTGTTTGTTCTTATTTAGGTTCTCCAGGAGCTCAAATTATACTTAATTTATTGGCTTCAGATGGTATAAAAGTTTCCAAAGAATCATGTACATTGTCATTAAATCTAGTTCGTTTTCAAGAAATAGCTGGTACTAATTTCACAAGGCGTTGCAAGTCATCTCATGTTTATGATAAATTACAAGCACTGAAAATACAAAAAAAGAGGTATGAATTTCTACTTAGTCAAAATACCGTTTACGAGCTGCAGTCGAATCGCCATCGACCACAATTCCCGACGGACTTACCTACTCGTATACATATTCCTGAAAATCTTCCTATAGGTACAGTTGTACTGAGGTTTGCGGCTTCAGATGAAGATGGTCCAGACTATTCAATGTCTGGGCAGATCATCTATGGATTAGAAGCTTTGAGGTCAGTGTCCTCCGAAACCGAAGCAGCAACATATATTACAGACGTAGATATCAAACAAGCTTTCATACTTTTGCCGAATTCGGGGTTATATAGGGAATTCGTTAACAACACAACATTCTGCTGTGGTGTTTCGCTGGTAGTGGCTGCCTCCTTAGATCGGGAAGTAATTTCCAGTTATAGTTTGATTTTACGTGCATGTGACCTTGGTCAACCGCAGTTATGTACTTTTTCTCCACTACATATCTTCCTTGATGATTTAGACGATAATGCCCCTGAATTTTTAAATCCATCTGTCCAACAAAGTAGTAATATGGTCCATATCTCTACGAATCCTTCAATATCAACATCTTCTAATCAGGATAGGGCTTCAGGTATTATTAACGTTCCCGAAGATGCACAGCCTGACACAATATTGGGTCAAGTTCGAGCTGTCGATCGTGATGTTACGAGCGAAGTTCGTTATTATCTGTTAAATTTTCAGGATGTATTTAAGGTAAGTCGCATATTTAAGTAAATAATCATGGCGAAAAGTGTTACTTTGTTTGTTTTGTGTTTTAAATTGTCATTTATAATTGGTGTGTGCTATTGTGGATGTCATCATTAAATGTGCTAGTCATATCGGCTACTTTTTGTTAGTTGTTTTTATTGGTATATTAGTAAGAGGATTTATGTTTTATCGGCTGGATTCACATCTAATTAGTGACCTATTCGATTATTGGTGTCATAAAAGCCGACTGGAACAGTGGTCAAAGTTAACTTTGCCATATGGTTGGTGAACCTTAGAATTTGCCTTAAATTGAGAATGATGTCACGATTTAGATAAACAGACTATAGTATTTTATATCAACGGAACCACGCATTCACATTCAGATATGTCTGGGGAAAATTCTGAAAGTGTGATTTATTTGTGAACGTTTGTAGCCATATGTTTAGTTGTCATCTAGGTTTATGTATACAAATGAGAAGGATTAATGCAATTATTTATCTCTGTGTTTTCCACCAAAAGCCAAGGTAAAACTGTATAAGGTCTGCTTTTTTGCCGTTTTGTTTACACTGAATAATAGTCAGATTTGGAATAAATCAAACATTTTTTGGGACTTTAGTTATAAACGCAATTTGCAGTCTCAATATTAAACCGCTATAATCATTAGATGTAGCTAGTTTATCGAGTTATGTGGCTACTCTTTTATAAGACCCCATATGTCTACAGCAGTTGAAGGATCTATTAAACAAAAGATGATTGTTAGTCATCCATTTCTAATAATAGACCGGCAGGAATGTTTGGAGCTAAAAAGCCTACTAACTAACAATAAGCAGCAGTAACGCTTACTTCCTTTCAGTGATATGTCTAAATTAAAATATTGTTTATGTCATCTTAAAATTTGATTATCGTCCGAAATTCCTCGTGTTAGGACGTTCTATTTTTATTATCGTAAATGAATGTGTGGCTATTTTATTCACATTTTAAATTAAACAAACAGAACTGAGAAAGTGAAAAAAATAGCAATTGATTTCCTTGATTTTTGTTCAGGATAGGGAAAGGTATTTATTATTCATGTCAATAGTTTGTACCTCCGCTTTGGTTATAGTGCATCGGTAATCGTATAACAAAATGGACATTAATTTAAGATTGCAAACAGATTCCGTTTTCAAAAAAATATAACAGTGATATGGTTCTATTTCTGTATACTACTATGGGTTTAGATACATCTGTTTTATGGGTGAAAAGAATGATAGATCCGCATATTTACTTGACCTCGGCTAAATAAAGCTGTCAGCTATCAGTTTATAGCTTGATGTAGATAATCATTCAAAGTATGACTTGGATAGTCAGGTATCATGAAAGGTTTGGTATTAAAATGTGTACTACTGTAACAATATTATCCATGTTATTTTTACGCGGTGAAAACGACTGCTTTATTAATTAAACTGAATTTGTCAACACTAACAGCGAATCCCAGTAGCCTTAATATCATATTATACTGATCATTATTTTGATGGGTCAGAGATATTTACTGTTGATCAGTATATTTCATAGTTTCATCAACTGAGTTGCGTTATAATTCTGATCGTAGTATTGTCTAGTAAAATCAAATAATTCTCCAGATTTATCATTTCGCTGGCTACATAATTTGACGTTAATATAATTTATAGAGGATTATTTGTGCCAGTAGTGTAGAATATTGGATCTTAATTTGTACTCTTAAAGTTTGGCTAGTGACAGTATGGAGGTTCGTTGTGTCATATCGTAGCAGTACGAGGAACTATATGACGTAATACATAATGAAAGGTAATGTCACAGGTGTCATGTAAAGAGAACTTATTTTTATAGGACACAAACTATATTTAAAGTTCCTCTTTGTTAAGGCCTTAAACGGGTACCCTTATATTTCATTGATTTTCACTTTCAAAGAAATTTTTCAAATATGAATTGTAACACTTTTCTATTGGCGTTAAATGATGTGTAATTAATCCACTCAGTAACTCTATAACGTGAATTTTATTTATTTTCAGATACATAGTCGAACAGGCAAAATCCGTTTGAAAACAAAATTGGATAGGGAGACTCAAGCAGTATATGAACTATTGGTGTCTGCAGTCGGCTATCCTCGTGGAAACCATCAACAGTCCCAGTTTAAAATACCATACTTTGATTTTATCCAGGTCTCTCAAGCGGTCGACTATGATGTTCGACGCTCCGCAAATACGCGTATCAACATAATCGTAACTGATGTCAATGACAATCCTCCAGTATTTTACTCCCCTGGTCTACCTCAAGAACATCAATATCTATATAATAATTCATCTGGAATCACCGGTTTGAATGCTTGGCTAGGGACTGATGGATATGTTGTCTACGTGCCTGAAGATATCCCAGAAGGTGCTTATATAACTACGTTGATGGCTACCGATAGAGATGAAGGTATGAATGCTTTGATCAGATATAGTCTATTCGGGAAGCAGGAGAGCAGTGCAAATTGTTTTCATACAGATCAGATGACTGGTGTTGTTCGTTTAGCTGCAGGATGTGATTTGCATAGAAGTAGTCGTAGTCATGTTCTTACAGCTTGGGCTATGGATCATGGTGCATCGCAGCTGTATGCTAATATTTCATTCATTGTTCATGTCTTGTCTGTCAAATTGAATATTTTTCCACCTCGTTTTATGGCACACCCAGCTCTGTTTAGTGGATGGATACGTGAGAACCAACCTTCTGGAAGTTTCGTTTTTTCAAAGCGTGATCTTGCATCTAAATTGCAACTGAAAGCAATTGATGCAGAAGGTAGCAATGTAATTTTTGTTGTAGTTGGGGGATCAGGATTCGGTCTGTTTGGTGTGAACGATAATGGTAAGCTAAAAGATAAATCATTATTAGTTATTATCAATATTGACTAGTTTAAATAATGTCACATCTGCTTCCAAGCTTTAAAAAACATGTGCACTGTGATTTTAAGTAAACATTTCCTTCGCGAGACGTCAGAAACTGTAGTGGGTTACAAACCTGAAAAGCACAGATTTGGGAAGATAAATTCCAAAATTAAAACTTCGTCATGAATTTCCGGGTTTCGTAAGCCCTATCGTAGGCTATAGGGACAAGGAAAATACTCTTAAATGATATTTGATTATTTAAAGTAAAATAGAGTATTTAGACTCACACTGGTTACCCACATTTAGCCTTTAGTGTACGAATGTATCAGTGTATGGTGTACAGACGTGATGGTTCAGGCTTTCATGTGATATCCAGATAAGTATAATCTCAGTACCTGAAAGTTGCTTCGGTAGTTATTTAAAGTCTATCCTAAGGACGCTTATTGAGATGCGCAAAGTATTAAACTACTCATTTTTATTTAATGTTTTAATATATATTCTTTCGGCGATACTGCTTCCTTCTGACGTTTTAGGGATCGATCTACCAGAGAATTCATCTATTGACTTAGAGTGTGTAGAAAATATCGCCCTATTTGATGAAGACTGACCTAGCGCAGAGTCTTATAATCTACTGACCACAGAACAAGTATACCGACCAACAGTCCGCTCTTTTCTACTTTGCAGCTCTAACACATGGCTTTTGAAATAGGTACATTTGTAGGTTGTCAGTATTTGATAATAGGTGTCTTTGGAAACAGGATACCGTTCACCAACTTAGTGAGCAATGCTGAAGTAAGTCATAGGATACCAGACAAAGATAACCAATCAGTTAGTGAGGTAATCGATCTTCATCAAACAAGATGGTTAGGATATATATTAGACATGCCCAGCCGCCGCCTTTTTCGGCACATCATGTTTCCTAATATAGGAGTAGGATGGAAGAAAGCTAAGGAAGTCCAAATCAAGGCATGACATTAGTGTATGGAGCCACTGACTGTTAGACTGGACAGTGTTGTCGGGTTGCAAACTACCTGCCTGGTGTCAGCGCAGTTATTATGAACAGCAATTAAAGACTATGAAGTGCATGACTTAGAGTCGGTAGTAATGGTGCATAAACATTCACTGTTTGACTTCCCTTAGAGCTTGAGTTTTAAATTACCTTATACCTTTTATTCTACTCATTCTTTCTTATCAATTCATTTGTATATCTAATCTTTTTTACCAATTATGATGCTGCTGCTACTCTAAACTTTGTCTTGACAATTTCTCTGTGCTGATATGATGCATCAACTTGAGTCGATGCACGTATGTGGAGGGTTCTAATTCACTTATTACTGACTGATTAATCGACATAATGGATTGTCGCGTCATTCTTCGTGATTATTCATCTTGTTTGTGTTTCTCCACTCTTGAAGATTTTACAATGGGCTTTTATTGTTTGGTGATTAATTCGTCACTATTATTCAAAACATTCATTTTGGTGTTCTGTTTCTTTCCATATTTCATGTTTTTCTTTGGACATTATGCGCTTCTTATGTCTAGACATTTAACATCATTCAGAATTTATTTTTATTATTCTCATTTCTTCTTAAGCGATGCTTTTAACCCATCAACATTTTATGTCGTTTTAAGGTTTCATATTCAATACACGAGAAATAGATGCTGAGTCAGTACAAGAAGATGGAGGATTTTGGTTGGTAATTTATGGGCTTGGATCGCAACATCCATCCACGTCCTCTTCATTTGGTTCTGAGACCGTGGAATCCTATATGGTTTCGTCTGAATTAAATGGACCATTGTATGCGATTGCCGAGCTATTTATTGAAGTAAATTTCACTCTCAATGTAATATTTTTGCCTCGTAAATATAGTTTTAGACATCTGTGTCATACCTATTCCAGTCTGGTTGATATTTTTCACTTTCTTCTCATTGGAAGCCATTTTAGTTCCAAATTTCCATTTAAAATGTCAGTTCTCAAAATGAAACTCCATATGTTTGTCTTAATAGTTTCAAGAGATTCTTGAATTAGTTTGTTATATGAACTTCATCGAACCAGACATCAATTTTTGCGTTATTCGAAACTCTTAATTTTATCATGTACTTTATGAATTCTTGGATTGGTTTCATAAATAAGCAGGATCCTTCAACTCCGATTATGTTCTGTTGGGTTAATTTAGTGAAATAGGACTAATATATTTTGTTTAACTGAGTTAAGAATTGTCCTTTATGAATTAGCCTGTTATCAAGCGTCTATCTGATACTTTGCACTGATTAAACTTAATACTGGGCTTCTAAACACTGTTGATTGTTATTTTTTAAAATCTTGTTGTTACTGTATGAACAGGCTAGTTTTTACCTCATTTTATGAAACAAATCATGTCATTGTGTTGTTCTCCATATTAACCAAGTTCAGTAAGTTCGTTTAAGTCAAATGAAAGGCAAACAGATTAATAAGCATAGCACAATAATTTTCTGCACAAACTTACACAATCTACACTATTTAGGCCATACATATTTTGGGATGTGATACATCACAAATTTATACATTTTGTTGACTGATATCTGTTTTTTGAATTTTAGGTCGTTGACGAAAATGATCATTTTCCTGTATCTCCGATTCCACAATACGGCCATCACTTGTTGGAAAATTCACCTGCTAATATTGTAGTAGCTCATATTGTCGCTTCTGATTCTGATAAAAATAAAAATAACTTGACATATATAATAACAGCTGGTGATCCTCAAGGTCACTTCATGGTCGACTTAAAAACAGGTTTGTCTCTTAGGTGTTTGTAAGCTTCAGTTTTACCTGTATATGTTAAATTAGCTGTGTTTGTTAGACGTAACCCTAAATGCTTCACTGTTAAACACTATTTCGTTGTCAAACTCTAAAATATTTACTTATGTTATCAGGTGTGTTGACAACAACAGAACGTTCATTGGATCGTGAAGCAGTTCTAAAAGATACTGGAAGAGTCGAATTGAATCTTGTGGTAAGTTGTATTGCACAGTAATCTGATGGGTATTTGTAAGTTTTTATACTGAATACAAATCTCATTTAGTCCATTTAAAATAGGATGCCACTTACATTTCCTCCCTGTACATACCTTAATAGGGTCCAGACTCTGGAACCAGTTTTTTCGGTTTGTAGTGTTTGTGTGACATGGTAAATTACGCATAACTACAACGATATATTGTCCAACTCCTCGTTCCCAAAACCGTGCACTTTACACAGTTTAAGAATTTAGAGCTGGAGAAAGCTGAATCGCCATTGTGCTTTAACTGAGAGCTTCCCAACGTAACATATTATTTCATTGTGAAGTAGAAGATAATGACTTTTGGTCTCAATCTGAGGAAGTGGTCATTTATTCAATGGAATTCGGTAGTTGTATTCCAACTCTATTATTGATCTTACTGAGCTACACACCATAAGAGGTCTCAATACAAAATGAAACAACTTTCCAACAATCCTTCACTTTAATTGTTTCTTTAACTGAAACGACAGCTTTTTAAATTGTTTAATTATTATTAATAACTGACGAGTTTATGAATTGCCATTTCGCAGTGTTACGTAAACATTTATTTCTTACGACTGTTAGATCTATATTGTGTATGATTCTTTCAAGGTTAGCGTATCCGATGCTCAGTCAAATCCACGATCAACTGAAGTTTCAGTTAAAGTCGAATTAATGGACGTAAACGATAATTCACCTCAGTTCGTTCATACTGCTCCAAGTGAATTTTCAAAATATATTATGGGTGCAGAGATCCCTTTCTACTTTTTTCAGTATTATGCAACAAACGGTAAGTTTTATCTAATGTTGGTTGGATGCGTAATTTCTATTTCCTAATCCTACTTTAACAATTTTCCAGTGATTATTTAATTGGAGTATATTTGGTTATAAAATTTGACCAGACACACTGGATATTTTGATTGGGTCTAGAAGTGGATTATTTAGTTCCACGATTACTGATCATCTGGTTACAGGCAAAATATCAACATAATATTTTCACTCCTTTGTTAGTCCTGACTAATTAGTTGTCTATTCTTCGTATAAGTATTTATTTCGGTCGATTATACGGTTGTGAGCATACGAGTACTTAAGCAAACTCATGTTAGTGTTTATAAAGTACTACTTATGCTTAATAGGAGAGTGCAAATTTCGATTACTGCTAATAAAATTTAATACACAGCAAATAGATGTCTTTCCGGGCTTTCAAATTTGGAATGAGTTTTTAATATAAGGTATACTATCAATTTGTACAGTTAGTGATTTTATTTCTTTGCTTTGGGATATGTATCTAGTCCTACGTTGTAGCTGACTGACTGAATGACACTTAACAAAATAGGTATATCATATATTGAGAAATGATCTGTGATACACACTAAAATCAACCTTGATATAACAGTTTGCTTGTTCATTGGTTTCTGTCTATCTTTTACAACTCTAGTTGATTCACCACTATATCTTATGGGGTTTTATCACCTAGTCTGTATCCTAGATGTATCACAAGTTTTTTCAATAATAAATATCTTTTTATATCAGTTTTGTTTTGTAACAATCCGGAATAAACCATTTCATATAAAGTGTTTCATAAGTTTGTGATTTATTCTATTTAGTGTAGTACAGTGTAACAGAAAGTATCACTATCGTTTTTAACATTGATAACAGAAAATAGTTTAAAACACTTTCTCATTGGTTCGGTAAATAAAAACTAGTTTTGATAAGTACGCTATTTGATAACAGATTACAGAATACCAAGAATAATCTTATGATAAGTCGAATATGTTTAATAATTCCCAATTATTCACTGTTTCTCTTTGTTTTATTTTACTCTCCAAAGAACTTTTAAGTCGCCTTGGTATGTGTCATGGCATACTAGTTGATTCTCTTTTTTTCTCTTTTGATTAACGTCATACAACACCATTGATTTTGGTGGCTACCATCTGGAAATGGTTTTCCACTCCTTATTCGTAGATAATTCAATTTATGGTTTAATTTTCTCTTTTTGTTGTTGTTGTTGTATGTCTTTGTAATTACATGTTGTTTTGATTATAGTCTTGAACTAATTGTGGTACATCCCCTGACTGGAAAGTGTATATGTAACAGCTGTTTTCTTTTATTATATATATATATATATATATATATATATATATATATATAATTTTTAACTCTTTCATATCTTGCTAAATTGATTAGGTATCTTTGACTCAGTGACTGCCTGTATTAGGTATTTCTCAATCTAGTATGTCTGTTGTATTGATATTTTTCAAATAGAACTCAATAGGATTTACTAAATTCCAATTTTTATTGATATTGTACTGTCTAAACCACATATGTTTTATATATTTTACCTGGTATAATGATCTTATCTTTCCATTTGAAGGAAAATGTAAACAGCTATCCTTAATTAGTAAAGAAAATGCATTTTATAATATCCAAAAATTAATTTAAGTCGTTTATGCATTGATATAAGATGATAGCGAAGTATTTGAATTTAGTTTACATCACAAACTAACATTAACTCAAAAGATATATACAAGCAGTGAAGATTGTACAGGTCCTCCGTCCTACTTTCGGGCTTCTGAGTAGCGTCTAAGCATGATCCTACAAGGATTGGGTCTAGGACATGCATATCTCCCAATGCGCACCATAATTTAAACCATTGGATCACAATCCAGTAATCATCTACAGTTCCATTACCAGGAAAATAGCGATACAGCAGTGCTGTCACCCAACACTATAATAACTATCTCCTTGTGTGGTGTGTGCTACTTGTGTTGACAGATGTAAGTAGTATGTGACACCAATCAGAAGTGAAATACTTATCGTAAGAAGATTGAACTAAAGAAAATAAAAAGAAATTGGGATAGAAACAGAATTGGAAGAATCATGAAGGATGTGGAGGACAATTGATTGGAAGATGTGCAAATGAAGTACTTAGTGTATGGTTTTCGTATTTTACGAAGACATTCTCTAATTTTGTATTTAATAATAAACTGGTTTTTCCCACCAAGTTTTCGTTCGCTTCACTTGACATATTTAAACTCTACCAGTCATCTATTCTCACTGATTTTCAGTGGTTCTATAGCTATTTTCGGTATTTGGTGAAAAATAACTTTTGATTTGCCAGTGTTCATTATCTCTCTAATGCTTTCGTGTAGTTATTTATTGACTGAATTAAATATATTTCGAAAAAATATAGCAGTTATAAGTAACAGTTTCACACCTATTAATCTTTTTTCGTAGTAAGCTACAATAAATTTTTATCATCAAGATTACACCAAATAAAAAAGCAATCAAGATAAATACAAAGTAGAGGATTTTCCGTCTATTGAATTGAACAGTGTACGAGATCTATCACAATTTTGGTTGGAACATTAAAGAGAATAGCAACACGATAAAGCCAGTGATATAATAACAAGGAACTTTCTCATCGACTTAGTAATCTGTCCAAAGTGTGAACTGATAGAAGGAAGTATCCATGTCTACACATCATGATATATAATAACTGACTGACATGGAGTAATGAAAGTTCAATGGTTGCGTATTTCCAGATTTTTTAAAGGATAATATTAATTAGGATACTATGAATAGTATCTTAAATTTACCATTTAATGCGATTATTGTGTTCCGGTCATAAACGTTACTTTTAGTATGAATTATAGAAAAAGATTTTAGAGTTTCAGTAGGAATTTCTTCATTTATCCACTTGTTAACTGGTTGTACACACCTTGTTCATCTTGCTCATTTTACTCCTCTTTTTTTCTCTTCACCTGTATATTTGGTTCGAATGTTCTTTTACGTACAATGATTCATCGTTACTTGTAATCTGCATGCATACACATTTAGTTGTATATACCTAGGAAATTATATATACATGAATAATAGTGTGAATAATATTATGAATAATACTAAAACTGTTCAAGGTCATAGCTTAGTAGTCGTTAGTTATTAAAAAGTTACTTCAACTAAAGTCATAATAATAACAATGAATATATCAGCATTTTTATTTTCAGTGGAGTAAGTTTACTCTACCTTAGGTACTTCTATTCATAATGAAAGTTATATTCAGCTCATTGTCTAAAGTTTCGGTTTTAATAACCTTCCGCTGAATTATGTTCTTTAGTATAAATAATTTGCGGTAATAATAATAATATCGAATTAACATCTGTATTTAAAATCTTACTAGTGTAACTACTTCCCACGTTATTTGCTACTATTACTCAAATTTGAATCTCTTCCGTCAAATAAAAGCTGTAATTGCTTGGTAAACAATGTACTGAAATTTATTTAGTCTGTAACAGACACAATCCGATGTAAATTTTGAGGGTTTACTAATTACAAGCGGAAATAGAAAAAAAAAGTAGCCAACACTATAAACATCATGACAGTTAAACAACTAATTAGACCTAACTATTTTAAAAAAGCATGTGCAATGCAAATCAAATGCTCAATTGTTGAAGGCTTAAAACTGTACTGAACCTTTAAACCTGAAAAAATTCATTGAAATTCACTTCCTACATTTTAGTGCGTATATTGTGAGAAAACCTTTGTTCAGTAAGACACTTCTTATTTTTATTTTATAAGTGAACTAAAAGATTATTGTTTGCATTGAATGTAAAACCCGTGATCAATTGCATAAATCTTCTATTTCATTTTTCTGTTTATCGTTTATTTGCTTAAAGCATACAC